TGGGATTTTAATTTGTAATAGGCAATAAGACTAAAACACCATGTAGCAGAAAATCTTAGTGATGTTTACATGTTCTTTGGTAAACATATTTGACAATCACTCTACCTGGGTAGCGAACGTATACCACCTCGTAGATACCAAAAACTGAAGACCGTATTGAAACTTCCCTCTTCCAGAACTTTGTGAAGATTTGATATGCAGTAGAAGAGCTGAACTTCGTATCCAGAGGTACCAAGTTAATAAGGACAGTGGACTTCTCTAGTTGATGGTTGGCTGCATCTGCTCCCATAATGCGAACTTGACTTTGGTCTAGTAAGATACTGTTCGCAATTTCCTTAGTAAGATTGGGAACTAATGGAAAAAACGTATACAGAGAAATACTGAAGCGCAGTCTAACTTCAATAGGCCAGACACAACCACAGGTTGCTCCCGGAGGTGCATATGTCAGTGGCTCCGTGCAGGTCATTGTTGTACATTCTGCAAGATTGAAATGTTGGTTGTCATGGTCCATGACGACTGCTTGAAGCTAAAGTATGATGTAATTGATACCATTTGATCATGTTTGGATAAGCTTAAAAAGAAGCAAAAGTTACTTTGAAGATTCTCCTTTGTCAAACATAAGTTTAAAAGACTATTTTGGCTGACAAAACTTACTTTTATAGAAAGTATATCTAACTTACTTTTTACGAAAATAACTTTTAAGCCTAACTGAACATGCTCTTAGAGAGGTATAAGCTACTGGTACAATACCTTGATTTGGCGGAGGAGGCGGAAGTGCTAGTGGCAGTGGAGTTTTCTTCATATTTTCCATAGGTAAACTCATTGGAGAAATAGTAGGCGGATGCGAGGGCACTTGTAGACAGAAAAGAGAAAATATGAGTTAATTAAAATTAGAGGAAATCCAATATAAATGTAGCACAGAAATGGATCTTTCCGTACTATTAAAATGACTTGGGGGAATTGCTGACAAGGGCATAGGTCTTGGTGAAATCCATTCCTCAGATGGAGGGAAAAGAGGCGGAGAATGGTTTATGGCATGGCCTGTTCAAAGAATTGTCAAGTAACTTCAAGTTACAAAGTCGAAGAAAAATGTTGATAATGTGAACCTGTTACGGATTAAACTCTAATCCCTATCTGGATAAAAATAATGAAAGAAACGAAACACAGACAGAAACACAAGATTTATAGCAGTTTGCACTTGATGTTAGAGCTACGTCTAATCACCAATATAGATTTTTCACTATAAAGAAGGAGAGATTACAAGGTTGTATTCCTCACACCCCTCTATCCAATCTATCAAGAACCAACCCCGATTCCATTATTTAGGGTAGGAAAAGGCATAGACTGACCTTTCTCGCTATAACTTGGTGACTGATTATATGGTCCAGGAGCAAAGTAGTGAACATTTCTTCCAGTATGATGATTTTTTTGAAATTTGTGAGATGGTGAAAATGCCGATATATGTATCGATTTCTTGCCCCGGTGGCTGCCAGATAATATCGAGGGTGCATGTGCATTGCTGGAGCTTTGAGGATTGGTGCCTATAAATGAAACATTTGAACAGTTGTCAGCAGCGGGCAATACATTTCATTATAAACCTAACTTATATAGAAATAAAAATACATCTCGGAGTTTAACAAAACCTTCGGTTAGTGGATGGTATACATGCAACTGATTGTGAAATGCTTTGAGATGGGGAGCCGAAGCAAACATTCCATGTCTTTTTTGTCGAGAACTGGTGGGAGTAGGTGGTATATCAATATCTAGTACAGCCAACACCACATTATTTTGTGAAAAACCATACAGTCGACATATTTGAAAGTTCAAAAACAACTTAACAAGGAAGAGTAGAAAAAGCTACCACTTTGCAGTAATGTTAAACGAGACGTGGCTTCATGAAGCCTAAAGTCAGGGGTTTCGTCCTTGAAGCCGAAAAGCACAGAAGCTTCTGAAAGTGAGTGTAGACCAATACCTGCAATATAAATTAAGTGTGTAGATGAGAAATTATATGTAATTTCATTTTACAAATTTTCATTCCTCCAATTAATTACTGAAGTATGATCAAACAGGAACACTTCATCAAATTTCTATATTCAACGCCTACTATTCCACAGATTGATGAACGGTTCATATAGCCCAAGAGCAGAAACTATTTTTTCTCATTGCACACTACTAAACCCAATTCTAATACTAATACTTTATAATGGAACTTAGTAACAAACTACAACTTGTTCCCAATTAATTTAGAGTCGACTACGTAAATCCTTTCTTGCCACTTCATTTGATTTATCTTTAGATCTACGGGAAGATCCAAAACATTGAGATCTTTAGGCCATGTTAGTTTTAGTTTGCCCTTCTCGTTCTTATGAACGGTAACCTCTTTTAAGTCTTTGCAAAAATGTACTAACCAGCTATGTCAATCGTATCTGCCTACTGTAATTTATGTACTTCTAGAGAGTTGTTCTTCGTTACTCCTTTAAGATCACATGAACAATAGGTGTTTTCTGCAGATGTGTTCTAAATGCACATAAAATCAGAAGTACACAGATCAAAAAAACAAAATTGAACTCAAGTTAACTAAACCAAATAAACAGAGCCCATTACCTGCAGATTCTTGAAATGTGAAAGCACAGAGAATTGCAAAAAATTCCACTGCTACAAAACTCAACTGCAACATCATCTCTCAAACACCCAAAATACCCGTCCTCAGTTCAGATTGCAGGCTGGAACTAGGTTGCATAAAGCCGGAATCGCTAGTAATCACTGATCAATCGGTGAATTCGTTCTCGGGCCTTACAAAAACTTAAAAGAATGCAAAATTGATTTGTATGTTATTACTACATGGGCATATCTTGAAGTGAAGGAACAACAAAATTTAAAGACAGACCCCACAGATAGTACTGGTGAATTAATGAGGAGACACTAAACATGGGATTCTGTTAGGTGCGATAAATCAATGTTTTCTATTCATTTTTTTTTTTTTTAAGATCAATACCAAAATTGATCAAAGCAGAAGGCAAAACAGTATAAATTGTATAATCAGTCACCAGTCACTTTGGAAAAGAAAGTATGCTGGTTGGATTGAAAGAGATTAGAAATAAATATAATAAATTCTTTTCCTGCATTTTGTCTTGTGAATCTGTTAGTTGAAACTTAATTATCTTTGAATTTGTTTGGTTTATTTGAATGGAAAATGCCTAACACTTGTGCTCAGAATTTTTCTTAATTGCAATCATTGCATAATATTCCATTAGAATTGCACTAAATGTGTCCTTTTTGTCAAAGTTTGAAAAAATTTAACTTATCCCACTTGTTTTTCTTTTTTTTAATACTCAGTAGGTTCTATCAAATCTAAAGTAGCCATTTTTATGGCTCCACACTTTGTCTGTGTGATTTTGACAAGAATTATATATGAATAAAGTAACCGACAGTGTTCTGATAGACTTCTGCATCTTGCTAGTTGCTATTTATCCACATCTTTTTCTTTTCTCAGTAGTCTGTCAAAGTATGGACTTTAATGTTTGGTGGTATACTTTGATTTTTTAAGTTATTACTATGCTTAAGGAATGTTTTGGCATTAATTATTTCCCTACAAAAGAAGCACCTTTTCAAAATAGAATATTATTTTAAAAATTACCTCTTCACTAGACAATAAGAACATCTTTAATAGCGTCCCGAGGCATAGTTTAGTGGTACAAAGGGTAGTAGTGAGGTTATCTCACACCTTGCTGGCAGTCACAGTGTGGTTGTTCGATTCCTGAAACATGAAATTGGACTCCTTGTAGGCACAGTGTACAGGCAACTCTTGTTCCCTAACCTGTTGGGACACATTCCGTGATTTACCTCCCTCACAAAACTCTAAAAGCAAGGCGGTGGGAGCCCTCCAGGTTGGGGTTCAACCTTTTAATAAGAACATCTTTAATAAGTTAATAGCTTTGTCGTATTCAAGCTATAAATTCTTAAAATGAAAGACACAGAAGTGATTAATTAATACGTCAATTCTACTTCAATTTCTGCTCAAAGTAGGGGAAATTTGAGTAAGAATCCGTTTGTTGCGATGGTTGCAAGTTGAGTTTTTAAATTTAGAGTTTCTTAAGAAAAGTTTTTATTGGAAAGTTGTCGATGGTTTGATTGTCAATTCAAAACGTTTTGTGAATACTGAATTGATGGTTTGAAAAATAACTATAAAATTGCTTTTATTATATGATAGATATATTACATATTTATTTGACCAAAATATCCTATAAAATCTATTAAATTAGTACATAATAATTATTTTAGTATATCATATGGTATAAAATAATTTCATTTAAATGATTTAGTGACTGATTTCTACATAAATTTTAGGAAAGTGTTACATATATATAATTTTCTACATTATAATGTCCATAAATACATATGACACTGGATCCAACATTTAATTCAAATATCACACTTTCACATCAACAACCGGATGATTGTCATATCACATTGTGTGCAATAATTATGTAGGTTCAGACTTTTCCTAAATTTTAACGCATCAACCTATGGCATATATTTGTTTAGTTTTACTCATCGAACAAATTTCTACTTCTCATATAGTCAAAATATATAATCATAGTGCTTGTCTAAAAAAAACTTCAAAAAATTGTCAACAAGAATACTTTGACTTTAACCAAAGATTCATTATTTAATCAATGATCCTTTTACCGTCAAAGAAATCTTCAAAACTTTAGAAAAGCCATCGTAAAGAAATTCCTTGTTCGTGAATAGAGTTACCAAACTCTCTTCGAGAAATGAGATAATAACATATTATTTGAAGTTTCAAGTTTAGCAAACTAGACGGATCAACTAGTAACATATTTCTCTTTTTTTCATAAAAATTAAAAAATTACATCACGTGTTAATTGAATAATACCTATCCCTATGAAAGATTTGGTGATTCATCAACACAAACTGCAATCCGTTCAAATCCTACTTAATTAAACCCACATATCCTACCCAACTTTAATTATAATTTAGGTGAATTATCAATAAAAGTACTACAATTAAGTTAATAACCCAAAAAATATTAATTGTTGAGTGACCTACCTGCCAGAGTTAGGTAGAGTTAAATTGGAATGGGAAGTTGGACCATCATTTTCCATGATCACAAAATTATGGTACACATCGAGTACTAACGCAGCTGCATTAATTAATTTCTTATTGGATTGTCGGTGATATTTTTGGTATTTTAAGAAATTCTTCTTTCAAATAATGAATTGTTAAGCGGATTGCCAGTAATACTTAGTTACATTGAATCAGAGGATTTAGCTGCAAATTTACAAGTAAAAAAAAAATCAAATGACACAGGAAAATTACAGTTTCTGCCTTACAAGAAGTGCACCGATCTCCAACTTCGACTTTTTACTTGTCAAAACGAAGCACTCCTATATTCGATATCACCAAATTCATTCTGAAACGTTCCCATTTTCGCTGGACGGTCGTCCCTCAATTTCGACAGTCTATTAAGAAACGACTAAAAGTACCCTCACGTAAGAAAGTTCCTACACACAAACGTTTTAAAAGCCTTGTACCTAAGCTGCTTCCCTTATCAATAGATGTACCCGTTAAGTGGCGATGAGTACCTTGACTCGTTGTCCCATTTGACATCTATTTTTTGAGAAAATTGAAATTTTTAAAGAAAGTGTGAATAAAAAGTAAAAAATAATGTTGAATTTACATGAAAAATATTTCATTGTGAGAATTTGTAATTAATAATGAATATGTACCAAACAAGGGCTTAATGAAGTTGTGATGTACATTAGTGTATTGAACACTCTCCTTGCCACCTAACTGGTAGATCGCATTACGTAATTCTATTTGGAGGGTAGGTTTATCTTGTCGAACCTAGAAACTCGCTATTCGCTGTGCCAGCGATAGGCAACCATCCTTCAGTGATCTATCAGGAACTAACTTGTAAGCCAGAAAAAATAGTGTCTCGCCAAAGATATTAATGAACACAAACTTAACCACTGTACACAATGATAGTTTCATATCCCACAAGTCCAGATAAAAACCAGAACAAATGGGAGGGAAGGGGGGGTGGGGGGGTAGAGAAAACAAGCCCAAAGGTTCTCTTAGAAACACAGATCCAAGATGACAACCAAAGAAATGAAGCCTTCCCACGTAAAAGAAGATGGAGGAGAAGAGGGAGAGAGGGAAAGAACCAGACACTTCCGAGTTCAGAAATATATTCACTTCCGAGTTCAGAAATATATTCACTGGCAAAATTGATATTGACCATGTATCCAAAGATTGAATTCAGCATTGGTTTACTGTTGTTTGCACTCTGGAGGACGTTCACCGTGTTGACCTTCCACAGCTCGTGCTCTACCACCCTTCTACAGATTACAGAAACGAAACACTGTGAAGCACTACAACAGACACATTTAAATCAGATACAGAAGTATAAAGGATAGCATCATCTTACCTTCTTCCCTGAAGACTGCGAATTTCCAATCGAATAGCACAAAACAAAATGAATATCAGCATTCCCCATAAATTGTAAAATTGATTTTAAGAAAAAAAACTTGGGATTTCAGTTCTGAAGGAAAAAGAAATTCTTCACCTTCTTCGCACTCTTGCCCTGCTCTTCCTCCTCGTCGTCCTCATCATCATCATCCTCATCCTCGTCATCATCGTCCTCATTGTCCTCGTCATCGTCATCCTCATCATCATCTTCAATGTCAAGTTCATCTCCTTGGACAGCCTCCCCAGTAAACCATGAAACAGCATGAGGTATAATTTTGTCCCGAATTGTCGAGCTGCAGCCAATAACAAGAAATACCCATTAAAACTAGTCAGATTTTAGGCATCTAACTCTGTTGCTACAAATGCAATACTAGAGAAATACAAAACGGGTGACAGAATGAATGACATCCAGTCATAAAAGAACATCTTTGTAACAGGAAGAAGAGGTGACTCACCCAATGTCATAGTCTTGTTCCATCAAATTCTGGAGTTCTTCAGCCTGTTGGCCAATGTTAGCAGATATAATGAATCGATCAGGGTTTACCAGCATTTATAACTTCAAGAAGGTATGTTCAAATATAGTGTGACTACACTTACCAGATCCTCATCAATGTCATCATCATTCTCAGGAACCTCTGGAGGCTTAAAGAAGTTGAAAAAACTATCACACTTTTCAGTCTTCATTGTAGGTTTCACATTCTTTGACCCCTTCTTTGGCTTTTTCTTTAAAACCTTGTGTGTCAAGCATTTACCTGGATGCCATTCAATCTCCGTCCTACAACATTTCCAATTTGATGTTGAGAGAGAGAGAGAGAGAGAGCGAGAGCAAAGAATCATGGCAGGTAAAATTGAATTACCCTATCGCCTTCTCTAATATAGGCTCATCATCATCAATCATGTGGTATGTCTTCGTCAATACAGAATTTTTGAAAAAAGGATTGGAATCAAAGAAAAACTCAAGCTTGAAACCCTTGGGATTATCAATCCTACACCACTTGATATCCTTGAGATATTTAAGAGCCTCTTCATCAGGCTCTGAGATCTAAACAAGAAGCAAAAAATGTCATCATTATAATGTAGGGCATGTTCACATTACTTTTTGTTCGTTTCTGCCACAAAGTTTTGGAATGTACCAATTGTGTCCGAAATGGTGTTAGAAAGAAACTAGAAACAATGTCCAAAATTACCTACCTCCTCTGCCAGTATTTCATTAGTCTTCATTGCCATCAGCCAGAAGTCAGGCACACCTTTAGCTGAAGGAAATTGCAAATTAGTGTCTGTTAGGACTACGTATCTACAACCCTTGAAGAGGCGGTCAGTAGGAGCAAAGAGAACAGATGAAGGAACTTAAGACATGATATGAAACTAGTCAACATAAAGTGTTCTACTTTGCAGCAAAGGCGAGGAAAACCATTTACCTTCTTTTGCTTTGTCATCCTCCTGCTCCATTGGGGCTTCAGTAACTCCTTCAACTTCAACAACACCGTTCACGATTTCATAACGCTGCACTTTGTTCACAGAAAAAGATATCAAATAAATTCAAAAAAAAAACCTATCGAATAGGGTGACATCAATATACATTTTCCACAGTAATG